TTCTGGCCCTGCAAAAGTTTTAAAATATCTGCCGGCGCGACGTTTTCACCTTCGGGCGAGCAACCGTCGAATACATAAGGACGAGGTAACTTGACTTATGGTGGCTGCGGAGTCTATCCAGGAGACCATTTCCTATCGTCCTTAGTTGGTCGTCCTTCGACGTTTTACGATGGTTGACTGGAATAATTCCTATTCTACTCAACTTTGCCACCTCCCAACAAGACGGGACAGTTCCGGCTGCCTGGGCCGCGGTGCTACTCATGGTTCTACTGAAGGACCTTTTCAAAGACTGTACTAGTCGCTATTACGCACTTGGGTGCCTTTTCAAAGATCCGCCTTTAATTAGAACTTGGAGCCGATGGCGGTACTTAGCCTATTCCTCCTGCAGCAGGCTTCCTTTCTCTCTTCCATGTTGGCGTTCGGGAGTCCCTAAAGAGTTTCCCTCAGGAGGTTTAAGTCCCTCTTTCAGTTCCTTTTGTGCTCCCTGAAGTGACTCAGGCTTAGAGCCGAGGAGAACATCTTCTTCCTCGGTGACGCGGGGCCGAGACCTGGTAGATGTTGATGTCTTACAGGTACGTTCCGCCTGTCGCCCGGCGGCCGTAACCCCACTTAACAAAATTAGGAAGGTTCCCCAGACCTCGCCACCTATTTGCGCCATATTCTGCTACCTATATTTTTAAAATTTTTTCTTTAGGGTCTTACAGACTGTTTATAAAATCTTAAGTCAAACATTTTTCGCAACATACTTTTTTTTAAATATCTGCTTATATGGTACATTCTGAAAAATACCTCCCCGTCTGTTTTTAAAAATTATCTCTTCTTTTAATAAAAATTACCTCTCCAATATCCTCTACAAGGTTTATCATGGATGCTCTTACAAAACATTCACCTTTTTTTACTCTGCTTTTATCTTTAACAATGAGTCCTTTTAAATAATTCTATGCTTCCAGTAATTTTGAGTTCTTTTCGGCTATTGTTTGGCGAGAAAGGCTCCGCGCAACTTTGTGGTTTAATTTTGAAACAAGTAATTCAACATACATCCTTTCAAGAAAATTTTTTGACAACAGTTTTCGAATACGCCACTTGCTTGACTTTAGATTAATAATTTCATTACATAAAATTTCGAAATTCTTGGCCCAACAGCATGCCGATTTAGAGTATAGTAATTCGAAAGATGAAAAACAATTCAAATTCTTTAAGCTAGCGTTAAGAATTAGTTTTTAATATTTTATTCATTTATTTAATTGTTCAATTCAGGAATACACACAAAATTATAAAAATATAATATGAGTAGGCATCGCGTAGAATAACTTATGCATGATGTAAAAGATTGGATAAAATGTGTCAAATATATACGCGTAAGCAAATAATATTAATAAGTATATAAATAAAATAAACAAATTAGATAAAGCCACATGTAATAAACTATAACATAATTCCTTTGAATAATATAACATGTTTTTTTTTACATTTGAAAATTTTCATTAAAATTTGTCAGAGCATTGGGCGAACATAGAATTTGGAATTCTTCAAAATAAACAATGACAAGAAAAAATATACTTGCCACATAAATACTCATTCACTTAAACGCCCATATTTTATGAGCTTCTGATCTGAAAACTTGTTGAAGACTGCGATATTATATTAAAAAACTATTAACAGAATCGGTGCCAATACAAATAATAACAATGAAAGATAGAAACTGGTGTTAATTAACAGCGTCGCTATTGTTATTCATCACAGATACACAAAAAGTACTCAAGAATGTCCTAATCTCAATTTTAAACAAGATGTTGGAGCAAAATGTTGGAACATCTATGTATTTCGTTGACTGTGATCATATCTCAAATGTACTCGTAACGCATTCTTTTGCCAGGGACAACTAAATGACAAGGTGTCCGAACATTTTGTTCAAAGCAACAATTAACAAAATCTTAAGCACTTTTTGTATTTCTGTTGTCAATAATCCTGATAGCGATGTTAATTAGTAGCCACTATACTTGTTCTTTTATTCTCATTACTTCTATGGGTAAGAATTCTGGTAAATTGCTACACTGTATCAAACGTTTGCAAGGCAAAAGCTACTGCTGTAAGCAGAATGAAGCTTTGCTTACATTCCCACAAATTAAAGCCGCAATTATTTGACACAGTAAAAGTCATGCTTGCCTGTTTTACTTGAAATAGGTTTTACGTACCCACAAAATTACTACATCACCGTATCTGCAACAGTGCTACGGCATTGTAGAACGTTTTTTCAGGCAACTTAAAGCTCTACTAGCTGTAATAGTAATGGCAAATCTTGGTGGTTTTTTAAGACTGTGATTAATATGTAAGGAAAACATATGAGCACCATCAGCTGGAATGGTACAGCATTGTAATTTACAACCTGAAAAATTTTTCCATTCGGTCAATCAGATATGTTAAATGGGAACACTAGAGAATATTTTCAGCCGCATATGTGGCGTAGACATTTCCTGTAGCGTACAAAACTAAAACTTTCTTTTATAAAATTAACAATTCACAAGGTCAATATTTCAGGTTACAAATACATAGTACTATTAAATATGTTCTAATAAACTAGCTGCAATCTGCACTTAAAGAAATGCTTTTACACGAATATGTAAGATCCACACAACGCGCTGTACTTAACTTAACCTTGATTCTCCAAGAGGAGAACTAGTGTAGAGTACTCTACTATTGTTAATTTGTCAATAAATTCTTTTAATTTTAAAATCAAAATTTGTAAAATTGTAAGTAAAAAAATGTATTAAGTCTCCAAACAAGATTGGGAAAATCTTGGGATCTTTTATAAGTCAGTTCATTGTCGTGATAATCCACCCAATATTGTACATTATTTTTATGTAAAGGCGTGATTTTCTTGAAAGCCCTCATATTAGAGGGCGGTCAAAACGTCAACTGACCTGATCGAAATTTGGCAATCTTAATGTATTTGTTAAAGATTATATTATTTTACACTTGTTTTCATCATAGAAAACAAATTAGGTTTTCTTATCATATAAGGCCATGCTTTTTATGAGAGGTCGTATATATAGTGGCGTCTAAAAAATAGATCTGTGTGATCCAAATTCCCTACGGTTAATTTAATGCACGGTTAATTTTTACACTGCTGCTCGGAACCAATTTTCATCCCAAAATATTGAAAATTAAATGTTTTGGTAAAGGTATTACTATTCCCCTTGTATGGAATGGCGTCCAAAAAAAGTTACATATGGCCCAAATTTGCTCTAGTTTCTTTTTATGTCAGATTGCCACCACGGACAAATTTACATTTACGAACCAAGTTTCCTCATAAAATAGAAAAGATTGGACATCTTTACCATATACAGAGTAAGCTTTCCCCTTGGATGGGGATCCAACAAATAGGCTTACGTGGCCCAAATTTCAAATTATTTTCATAAATCAATTTTCTCCAAAAAATATTTAAAAGTTATGCCTTTTTACCATACAAAGTTTCAGCTTTCGGTTGTAATGGAAGCGGTTAAACACCTTGTCTACTTCGACCCAAATTTTCCGGATGTATATATTTATTACATTCTGAAGCCTCTTTAAAGTTATTGCGAATGCTTTAGTAAGAGAATGGAAGTTTGATATTGTATTGCCGATTGCCGATTTTTCACATTCTTGTGCTACGAAATTACTAGAATAAAATAGAATAGAATAGAATTCACGTCTCATCGTCGTTGTATCTGTGGTAGTTTACTAGCAAAATACTCATTTCTTTTGGTTCTTGAAAACCAAGGTACGTGTTGCTTAATCAATTTGTTCTATTTTCAATACAAACCTGTATGCTATTATTAAATTAAAAAAATTCATAATAAATTTGAACCCAATATGTTCATTTTTCGATCAAGAGGATGCTTACTACAGACAATACACAGACAGGCAGACAGAAGGACATGCTTATAACGAATCAGAATTTGAGGATGAACAAAAAATTTATATGTGGGGTTTCTGAAGCTTCCTTCAAAACGTGGTAAACGTTTTGACAAGATGAGTCTGGCTGGGTATTATAAATGCGTATTTCTTTATTAGTGTAATCAATCAGAAAAGAAATAAGAACGGAATAAGATCGTGGTACGGACAATAAGAGCATAAATCGGTTGAGATCACTTGCCTATGCTCACATGAGCAGTAATATTTTCACCAACGTATCTGCTGCTCTATAAAAATTTACGAAATACTGTTAGAATGATCCACAAACTTTATGTTTATCATGTAAACTTTTTGGAAAGCAATTTCATAAACGTGTAGGGCAGGCATGCATTGCAGATAAATGTTGATGTTGATCTTGTGCATTTCTACATCTGGAATGCGTTTGAATGCTAACATATGGATCGCGATTACTTGCATTTTAGGTTTTTGGAAATAGTACATGTTGCCTCACTTTTTATTTCAAATGACCTTTTCAACTGAATGCAACATCATTTATGAAACATGCTCAATGTTATGGAAAAATTCAGCAACGGAGAACGTAATACTTCCCAACGAATGTCAAAAGACGAGGATTTAATAACTATTAGAGTTTTTCCATTACATCAGTGTAGTAGATAACAAACACATGGCGGCTCTTTATCCCTGAACATCCGTATCTCTTTTTATAACTATCCCCGCAGAATAAGGGGCGTATTCATTTTGTCGAAACGTTTGCAGCAGTCAGAAAGGTGCTTCAAGGACCTCTTAAAGTAAATATGTATATATATATATGTATATATATATAATAGTAACAAAAAAGTCTGAATCGATCTAAGCATGTTCGTCAGTTCGTCTGCTCAACTGTACAATATGTATGGTGAGCATTCTGCTGTTTTACTTCTTGTCTTTTTCTTTCTTTTTCTTGACTATGTCTACATAAAACCCGTTTGGTTTGCCAAAGATTCAAAACCTAACAACAAAAGTTAAACAACTCTTCATGCGTGACACCCCACCCGTTTTCTATTTGTGTATATTCATCGTCTTCAATCTACTCAATTTATATTGCCAAGTTTCGTATGCACGCAAAGATTTTATGTGGGTGGCCCTACAACAGAAAATTCTAAACTTGTTTAAAACTCTAACTTGGCATTACTGGTTAATCATCCAAACACTTAGTAGGTTTATTTTTTCTTGTGCACAATTTTTATTAAAGTTTTTCATTGAAATTATGTGGAAAAAATTAGAAATTTCCGAACACAATTATTTCATAAACTGTGCTTCAACAGGTAACGAGAATATAACATGTGTGTTATTGTCTATAAATAATTGCTGGTTCGCAACGTTGACAGAACACGAAATCAAACAAAAAGTTAAGGTTTGTAAAATTTTTTTGTTTTTTCTTTCTACAATTGCATATTCCTTCAACTAATAATATTGCAGTTACTAAACAAACGTATTGAATATAATGAATTCGTGAAAAATACTTTATTGAACAGTGATTTAGAGCAGGCGTCTATAGAAGAGTTAGCAGAAGCAAACATAAGTGATGGATTAAGTAAACGCTTATTGAAATTAAAATATCGTGTAGAAGAATTACCATTTAAATTTGAATGGTCTTTAACCCAAGCATGCACAGAAGAAGTAAGAATATTCTAGAAAATAAAAAAAATACTTTTAATACCTTTTAAATTTATTTTACAGTTTCACCATAATTTTTTCATACCTCTGCTTCTAACTGCTAACGCTTGTAAACAGCAAATGCAGGAGCTAAAGTCAATAATAAAGAAAAAAGATGAAGAAATAAAACAATATCGCAGAGAAGGTTTTATTTTGCATAGGAGTGAGTTCTTTTCTCTATAATAAAACAAATCCTTATATTTTTGTATATATAAAAATACATCTTCATTTAATTGATTTTAGCTACGGTTATCACCAGACCGTTTGATGCTGATGAATTTGATAATAAATGTATCGATCATAAGTTTATGTACAATTTTGAAGATATGTCCAAATGTGTATTAGCATTCCAAGAAACTGATAAGCTAAGTAAAGCCTCATCGAGAGCAGTAATGCCGTTAAGTGAAGTAAAAAACGATGTAAAATTGCCACCAAAAAGAAGTAAAAGCCTGACAAAAGGTCCCAAACAGAGGTAATAACATGTGACATTGTTTTAAAGTTTATAGTTGTTTTCAATAATTGAGAGCAATTCGCATTTTAATGCACCAGTGGAGTGAATTTAAGCAGTATATGCAATCTGCTTTTGTTAAATTTCTTAACATTGTTTATGAAATACGTTGATTAAGTTGAATTTATAATTTAAAACATGGGATAAGTGAACTCGAAATAACCAATATTTTCAGAGTTAGTCTTTGCTATTGTACTATTAAATTATTATTTTACTATACGATTGCGAAGTGCCAAGAAACGCTGTAAATTTAATCTGTGATAACCGATATTGTACATAGTAAAGAAGATATAGATATAGATGTATTGTAATTTCATTTTGCTTGTCACATCAAAAAGAAAACATAGGAAATTTCATAAAACTTTGCAACGAAATGCAATTTTTATTTACATACTGTTTATTCTCGCAATTTACTTCGAAGTCTGCATAGTGGTCAGGCAACTATATTGTTAATTGATTGGCATTTTTAAAAAGTTCTAAGTGTTGGACATTAACAATCGAGTAATTTAATTTGATCGGCTAAGCATGCGTTTCTAAAATACCACAGCAAAGTTCACTGACTCGTTACCACCATCTGCTATATGAATGTTAAAAAAGTATTAACTGCGTCAAGTGAAAAGCATTTCATAATGATTACAAACTCGCGAGTGTATTCCCAATTGTGTATATATTTTAAGCTATTTGTTCTAAGCCGAAATGGAATTTTCTATTACCATTATGTTACCTTTTTAGCGAGATAAGCTTTGGACTCTCCGATATCAAGGGTGCTTCTTGAATACTTTGCAGCGTTCATATGTTAGAAGATCATTACTTTAAGAATATACTAATACATTCAAAAATTTGACGTAAAAATTCATTGGAAATCAAATACTAGGATATTTTTATGTACGTATTTAAATAAATATTCATGGTATATGTATGTCAAAAGTGAAATATGAACTTATAAAAAGTTATCTTAAATAAGTTAATTTACAACAATTTGAATTATACTGGGCTATAATTGTAGCATTGAAAACCTATTATCTTTGGTAACACTGCCCAAGCGAAGTTTTTTAATGAATGGCTTGCTATTTCAGATTCAGCATAAGATTGTGTGTTGATATCGCCCCTTGGTACTCAGTTAACAAAATCGCGTCAAAGAATGAAATTTATTAGACTCGCATAAAATTTGATGGCTAATTTGCACCTAATCGGCCCATTTATGTGCCCGCGAAAAATAGAAATAAGTGATACATGGCTGATATAACAAGGTCTCCACAATGTGGACATATATTTTTTAACTTTATTTTTTGTAGAAAACGTCGAGCCCAGGAAACGAAACAAGAAAAATTGAAAAAGATTTTACGACCTGCCAGAAAAATTATGCAATACGAAAGTCAAAGCAGTCAAAATTTACTTAACTCTTTAGCAGTTTCGGAAAACTCTGAAACGAATCAGACAGAAACTTTGGCATGCTCAAAATTTAATAAAGTGGATTGGGTCCCAAGGAGAATAACGGAGAGACGAATAACGCGCAGTACTTCGCGTATTTTGGAGGAACTTGGAACAGAAGCTGAAAATAGCTCTTCTAAAAATGTTACAAACAACAAGCAATCAATTACTCATCTAAATGAAATTCCAACAACGTCGGGAACATTATCGGGAAGCCAGCGCGCAATATCATCGAATCTTATATATAGTCCAAAACGAGAAGCGAAGACACCAATTAAGGATTTTGAAAATTGTTCCAGAAGCGTTTTCGATTTCTCAACAGATTCCGATAATGAAGCTGAAATAACAGTAAAACGGAAGAAACCCAAAGGAAAACGAAGCTTAATAAAAAAATCAGGTAATTCTCGTCAAGAAATTTCTGAGCGTATTGAGAACTCTATCAGTAATTCTGGTAAGTGTAGTAATGACGTCTCATCACAATTAGAAACAATTAAGAAGGAATTGCAAGAATTGGAGATTTTACGCTTGGCGGATTTAAAACAACGTCAACGACAAATTTAATGATTTATTATCAAAAACCTTTTGTAAATTTATTTATAAATCTTTTAATGTAAATCAACTTCTAAATGCTAAGGAAATTATAGAAAGCATCAGAGAAATTTACAAATAAATTGCTTGTAAAAGGAAAGTTGTTGTTATATAATTATCTTAGCGCAATAACCAAAAGCGTCAGGCGATATGTTGCTTTCAAAAATTTTTTAATCTTTGGAGAATAATATTGTTTAACCAAATGTTTTGTACTCAATTGTTCTATACATTTGAAGTTTAATCATATTTTACCAGTTTAATGGAATTGACATAGATTTAAGTAACTAGAACAGTGTCAAAATTATTTAATTTGACCTTTTTGATTGGGTAATTTCACCCGAAATATTAATTCATAGAAATGAAACATAAATGGGATGCTTATACAATTGTAGTAGAAACTAAAGAATATAATAAGTGTAAGCTATTTACAAAAATAAACAAATTCATATAAACCATAGATATTTTTGCATACTTAAAAAAATTACTATAGCTATATTATTATTTAGAAGAAAAGAAAACGTATTCCTTTAAAATTTTTTTTTTTTGGGCGGGTATGTAAGTTACATTTTTTATTGGCTTAGTCCATTTAATCTCAACAAATAAATAAAAAAAAAAGAAGAAAATTAAAAGGTAATTTGAATTTATGAAAGGTAAGTAATATATTGTTAAATTTTAATAAATAACCGTTTTGTGTTCATCAATATATAATTATTAGGCAGACATTATTTCATGGAAGAGGATCGAACTTCACGGCAGAGAATTGGTATGGCTTTACGGCATGCCTTCAATCCTCTCACTCTACTTAAAAAACGTGTAAAACAAAAGAAGAGGAAATAAAGAGTCAATACTTCCGCTATAAATTTTTTGTTATTTCTATTTCTTTAAAACATTTCATAGTAGAAATAAATGTATAAAAAGTATACATATAAAGAAATTAAAATAAGAAACTTGAAATTTGTGGACATAAAGAATAAAAACTATTTTCTTTGAGATGAAATTAGAGCAGAGACATGAAGGATTTAACAAGTTCCTAGTCATTGTGGTGAAAGTACTTAGTAATGGTTGGATGATTTCTTAAAATAATCTTATTATCGATTTGATTCTGGAGGAAGTCGCACGTTGCCAAATGGCGCCTTTTTAAGGCCAAGAAAAGACCTTATTTTGCCAGCTGAACCTAACAAAACGAGAACAAATGGTAAACTTTTTAAATAATAAATCATATTGGTCCATTTATTTGGGTTTCTTAGCTGTACCTGGCATATCGTCCTCCGATGATACATTTACTACACTGCGATTACTAAACATATAAGAACCAATTGTAAGCAGACAGAAAATTACACGTTAAAAATTTACTTATGGCGTTACTCTACTGGTGGAGAGAAATGCATCATTATTCAAAGATTTAACCGGGGTCAATTTTTAGTATTCCTCATCGGGATGGCTCCTAGGGAAGAGGTATGCGCATTTTGTTTCGTGTTCATAATGTGTGTAGCACCCAAAAGAAAGTTTTAGAGACCCTATAAAGTATATTAATTCTTGGTAAGCGTGAAATTCTGAATTAATTAAGCCATGCCTGTCCACATGTATGTCTACGTGGTGTTTCTTGTTTGAAATCTCCTGGTGCCAAAAATGAAGATTTCGACTTCAAATTTGGTAGAAATATTGGAAGTTCCTGCGCGCAGATTGATATTGGGAAAGCGTCAAATTGATCAGAGCAGAAGCCCTAGTTTAGCGTAAACTGAACGCAACTCCGTTCTCCTTAACAAAAAATTTGTTGCTTTTTGTTCGTTACTCAGAAACTATAAAAGTCAGAAGACTGATAGGTTCCATATTTATTTTAGGGAACGTTCTATTGTTTACGTGCAAAAATGCAAAAAAATGGGCACGCTCACACAGATTATATCTTATTTTTTTCACTTTTTTTAAGGTTTTTTGTTTATTTTTCATAAGGCAAACAAGACAATGTTTAAAATTATTTTGTACATTGCTCAGACAAAGATCTATTATTTGCCTAAACATGATTTAATTCTAAAATTAATATGGTAGACACCGCAACGTAGTGAATTAGTTTTGTCCTAATAATATCAACGGTATGGATATTAAATAAAAGAACTTGAAGAGTAGAACGCCAGACGCTAAGTGTGTTAATTCTAAATTAATTGTAGACGTCGTGCCTTAGTGGATAAGGGTCTTTTCAAAATACCTTCGAAATAGGTATCAAATGAAAGGAGTTGGAGAGTGGAATGTGATAAAGTGTATTAGTTATCGTGGACTTAATACATAAAGTCTTGGAGCATGCACAGAAAACCGATATCTTGGACATTAAAATTTGGAGCGTTTATATGGTGCGTGTGCGAGATTCTGCCCTTCAACGAGTATAACTTTCTTATTTGTTTTAATACATATTTATTATATCATATTTGTTGACTACAATGAAACTAAAAAATCTGTAATATTTTAATATACACTTATTATTTATGTTTGCCGATTATATCTCTCATAATTAGCTAAACTAAACACAAGAGCGATTTAAGCAAAGGTTACCGTCATTGCGGCGTCGAGCACGCACGCGAACACGTGTACCTCTATTATTTTATTAAATAATATAATTGTTAGCTTCGTCAATATAAAAAATGCACTAAAAATGAACGCACTTCTTTAATAATTAATTGATAAATTTCTTCCATACGCAGTTTTTCCTTTTCTTTTATGAAACAAATGAAGTTCATAGCGTTATTCTTAATTTTCGTAGTTTGATTATGGTTTTTGATACGGGTTTTTACGCGGTGGGTTGTACAACAGCACTAGGCTTCCTTTATCAAATTTGCAAAGTTCACCTGATCATTTAAATATTCAACTTTATTTTATTTCTATCACGGCTATTAATACTGTTTACATACAATTTATATGCGTCAAATTCGAAGTACTTACCCGCCGTGCTGCAACACAATAAACACATACTACAAATATAGGAAATATAAAGTTCCCAAAAAATATATGAAAAGTGGTTCTGCATACGACTATTTCGTTTATTCTAGTGTTACTTACTTCAATCGTTAAAATTGTCGTAGATATCTTCAAACGGAAAAATCCTCGCTTTTTAATAATCCTAAATATTTTCACAAGTTGTTTAACTTCAAAAGAAGAATGCCCATGTATACCTCTTCGATCTCTTATAATGGCTGCGAATCCTCTGGTGATATTGAAACCTGGAATTTCTTTGTAGAATACTTCCGACCAAAAATTCTCTATTGCTAAATCCGTGTTAGAAGATGATAAACAAAATGAAAAGAAAACAAGAACATTATAGTCGCATCGATCATTGAATATCCTACACCACATTATCTAACACAATTGTTGCTTTTATTATCGAACACAAAAATTATGTCTTGTTTCTATATAAAAGCATATGTTGCATGTGCGTATTTATGGGGAAGCAGTCCCAAAACGCAATCTAATGTAAAACAAGTTTAATCCTCACATAGGACAGGACCTAGAAATAGGCGCAGATTGTCTAAATTCTGTAGAGTTACTTTTTCTATGAAATTATTATAATATGGGTCAATTTCGATCGCCACATATTAAAAGTGATACTTTGCTGTTGTACATAGGATCAATTTTCGTGAAAATCGTTATTAGGATAGGATCCCAAAAATAGGCCGAGATGGTCCAAATTTGATACAGTTAATTTTTTTAAATGATATGATATGATTTTCAGCGTGAAGCAATGAAAACTATACCTTTTTGTCGTATGAACTTCCGTTTTCAATACATGTTCAAAGATTGCTCCAGCCGGTCGAACCAATTTAGAATGCTGAAATACTACTATTTAGCCATTTTTGCGAAGAAGTTTTGGAGACTACATTTTTTTCCATATAACGACTTTACAGAATAGAGCCTTATATGGGGAGTAGTCGAAAAAGTGGACCGATGCGAACCATTTGCATTAACGTTCGTCCTTGGGTCAAAACACGGCGCTGAACTAAAATTCATCAAAAAATCTCAAAAATTGTAACGTATAGCTTGAACACAAATTTATAAAGACAGACAGGCGCACTTCAGCCTTAAATCAATTCAGATAATAATTCTGAGTCGATCGGTATGATAAGAAATGGCTTCATCCTAAGTTCTTGTGCGTGTTACATACGACCGCACTATATTAATAAAACCTATACCACAAGATGTGTAGGGTATAAAAATAGAAAAAGAGTTTATTTAAATATTCTCAATGTTGACTTAAAATAGCACACAAACTTAGCACTAATAAAACACTGTAAACAAAAGAATACTTTAAATACTTTGATGTTCAGCAAGCAATAACAAACCTAGCCGAGAAAAAACAAGAAATTAGAAGCACAGCCAGCAAGAAATTATCTACCGACCTGCAATTTCTACCAAAAATTACCTAAAGACAAAGTTCGAACACAATAATACGAAGCAAAAAGCACTTGGACGGTGTACCAATGAATGTAATCCAAAACAAGTTAAACAAGCCAAAAAATATGAAAAAAAAAAACAAAGACACATCTTGACGAGAGCACCCAGAGCTGACCGCAAAAAAGAGAATAATATCAACACTCAAGAATAATTGACAAGCATAAATTGCAAGTAAAATTCGATCAACATCAATTTTTATAATTATTTAGGTTTTTTAACCATTTAACACAATAAAATATAAAAGAATTTACAAAATCTACAAGAACAGGAGAAAACACGACCACAATGTGCGTGCAAAGTAGCTAAAGGACTTTAAATAAAGTAATATATTAAATTTGAGTTTTGTAGTTGGTCTCAGATCGTCTATACGATTAATTGTTCTGAATGTGATTCTTCTAATAAAGGAAAAGTTTAGGAGATTAAAAAGAATGTGCTTTATTGTAAGAATTTATCAACAATTGCAGTGTGGAGAAGAAGATTTCTGCCATCCATTGCATTGGTGTGTTATAAGACTATGGCCAAGGGAATCCTCAAATGTTTTGACGTTAATTTTGTCAATATTAGGCGATAGTTAGGATATAATGTAGGAACTAAGTGAGCGTTAACAGGTAGGTATGAGTGATAATATTTTAGATTCTCCTTCATAATGTTATATTTAACTTCCTTTCCAACGCTTCTTTGAAGGTCTAACTTTTCCACGATAACGTCCATAAGTAGGGATTCATAAACAGCAGACTTTATCGCTTGATCATCTTGCTCATTTTCCAACAAGCTGATACGGCAAGGTACCCAAAGCGTTTCAATCTTATCACCGCACGTTGACTGGTTCCTGTTATCTTCTTTCCTTGTTGAAACGAATTAATCGCCCGCGTAACGAAAATGTTTAATTCTGGTGAAAAGGCAAAGAGTTTTAGAGAAAAGGGAAAGAGAAAAGGGATCCTTGTGGAAGACCATTTAATAGGAAAAGATTAATAGAGATGCTTGTTAATTCTGACTTTAAATCCCTTAGGCGACATGATTAATTTCGTGTAGTTGATCGAAGACTTCAT